AGTTTCAACAATACAAAATTAAAAATACCAAACAGCCCTTTCACAAAAAAGCTGTTTTTTCAATAAATTGAATGAAAAGGGTCAGAATCCCTAAATAAATTGGTAAAATTCTAGGTTTTTTTTTTTTTTACATCCCCACCAAGAATAACAAAACCTGATCCCATTAACAAGGTGCAGAATTAGATGGCTTTAATTTTAGATAAATAAACAATTTTTAAAAGTACTTAACAGGTTGATGAAAGCCATTGGGAAATGGTTTGAAATCGTCTTTTTGTTGTTGACCAGTTTTTTTTTTTTTTTTTGTAAAAAAATACATATGCTGTGTTGAAATAAAAAATTATCAAGTACCAAACCTTTTTAATAATTAAAATTTAGGATCCACCTTGGATTATATAAAAACAGATCGATTATACTGATAGTGTGTATATATATATATATATATATATATATATATATATATATATAAATAAAAAAAAGTGGTAAGATATATAATCCGCTGTTCTTATAGATATTTTATTTTTTACAAAATAGTATGTAACAATGTTTTTTACAGAACAAATGATATAAATATAATTAATTTATTTAAAATAGTTAATTTATAATATATTTATATTTATTATATATATTCATTTTAAATCAGTTAATTTATATATATATATATATATTGATAATATTATGGTTAATATACACATACATATATGTACATATATTCTAAAACACACAAATATATATACAAATGTACATACCCTTTTTGGCAATTCTTCTAAATATTGTATATATATATATATTTTATATATTTTATGTGTGTTTTAAAAAATTTTTTAGGATAGAATCCAGGTAATTTTCAATGTCCAGTACTGAAAGGATATATTAAAAAGGGAAAACATATTAATTTGGTCATAATTTATTACATTGGAAAAAATAATACATTCCAATTCATCAGACCTACAAATTCAAAAAAAAATTGTTTATTCCTTAATGTAGCATGAATTTTTCATGTTCTTTGCAATCTTCAGGTTCTAATTATATTCATGTTAGTGATAATCAAACTGCTTAAAAATTCTGGATCATGATATTTTCTGTGAGTTTTATAATATGTATATTTATTAATATATATTAAATACCAACTGTGTGGATTACATCCTATTGTTTTTTAAAATTTATTTTAAATAGCACTATATGTATATATATATATATATATATAATATATATATATATATTTCATATCTGTTCATAGAATGTATCAAAAATACTTTTACAAACTTTCAGGGTGGGTTCCAAACAAAATGGCGACAAAACATACCTATAAACATATGTCTTTGAAATTCTTTGAAATTATGGTCCAAGTTTAAAAAGTTGTTAGGCAACGTTAAATGTACAACCCAAGATACAAACCAAAAATACTTATTACTATAGTTCGTGGTGCCATAGATCTTGTCTTAGCAACACAATGATAAACAGCAGCAAATGTTGGATGAAATGGGGGTCTTTGGTATGGAAATGCAAAATGATTTTGCATTTTTGAAGCCCTGTGTCCATTGCTATTTTTAGATTTCATGTAAAAATCATATCTGCCTGTTCACAATATGAATATCCTGCCATTGTTAAACAGAACACTTCTCAGTTAACTCACTACTACACACGTTAAATATTGATGATAGACTAGGCATGAATGTACACAAATGACAAATGTAACCTAGTCTACATAGCAATACAGTGCCATCTACTGTAAACTTTCTTTAAACTTAATAACTCACAAACGAAGGATTTGCAGACAACTTTACAAAGTTTGTGAAAGTATTTTATATATATATGTGTGTGTGTGTGTGTGTGTTTTGGGCAGCAATCCGTCTTTTATACATGTTTCATTAAATACGACTGACAAAGTACTGCTATTAAGCTTTTTTTTATTCTTCTTCTGTGTGTTCATCTAAGTGTTTTCTTTCCTGGACATAAAGTATGTAAAACTTGTCCAAATGTTTTGTGTATCTGACCACTTTTGGAACGTATATTAGCCATTATCAAGGATTTCTTTATTTTCTATTTTTAACAATGTGTACATTTTTATGCTTCTAGTGTGATGAGAATGATTTATATTAAAAAATCTATACATTCAGTTAAAAATAAAAGGTATCTCACTCACTTTTAATTCTGTTCATCATGTTTAATGTGTTGGAAGTGTATAAATTTCTAATTTTGTTTATAATGTATTATTCCCTTTAGAACCCAATTAATAATGAATGCATGAGAACATCTTTGTTGACCTCCTTGCATTTCTTTCCATGTGGTTTCATAAAAACAAAGCTTTATTGCCAAAAGATCAATAGTTTAGCTGAGCTTAAAGAACACATTCAATTAGCAGTGCAAGAAATATCTCCTGGAATGGTTCAAAATGTATTTCACAACACAAAGTATAGAGTTGAATTTTGCAGGGATACTGACAGAGTACATGCTGAAAATTTCCAATAAAGTTTTGATGTAAGATTTATAAATCTATTTGTTTTGTATCATAATTAAGTAATAAACATAAAATTGGGTCAGTTTTTTAAAAATTTTCCTGATTTCATTGCAGTAGATAGTTATTTCTGGGATGCCGCGTGTGTGTGTTATTGTAATAGGAGTTAAAGTGACATTAACATTTTTTAATAATTTTTTCAATTTGAGCCTCATAACCATTCTCTGAGAGTCGGTTTTTGAAGCGAAAATCTATTCTTTTTTGCAGCACATCTTATTTGCATAATATCTATTCATCTTTAGCTGGAAAAACCAAAAGTTTAATGGATTTCTTTTTTCTAGGCTAATCAAATATAGACATTCAGACAGAAAGCTTGCAAACCTGACATATTGAATTATTTTCGGAAACATGGAATGTGGATATTTTTTGATTTAAAGATAATTCTTCTTTTGACGGGACTGGATACTGTGGTTGAATGGCTTTAAGAAATTGGAATTGGTGTTCATTGATCGGGTAGTTTTCAGGGTTTTTGTCATCCCCTTTCTTTAACCAGGGATTGCATTTTAGATTTATGGAAACTATCTACGGAAGAGAAATATTGGCTTTAAATCATTTCAATTGATGATTTGCATTTGGTTTCCTTTGGTTCAAAAGATATTGAGAATTTTTTCCTTGAGAAATGTTATTTCGTGTATCTGAGACCCCTGATGACTATTTGGCTGATCTTAAGGAATCTTCCGTAATTTTGGAGGAGTGCCAGAATTCTAATGGCAAATTCTTAAATTTTTTTCCTTGATCCTTTGAAAAGGTTCTATCATTATCAAGCCAGGGCGGATGATTTAATGTTAGGAGCTTTGGCCCTTACTCATTTAATCATTAAAAAAGATAGCAGAGAGGAAACTTCATCGTCCTTGCAGCCTCCCAGAAAAAAAATGTTCAAAGGACATGGGCCCTTTGTCACATGCTATTAATTTAACTACCCAATCATGTTTATGGATTTGTTTTAAAAAGGATCCATTAAAATTTAATAAAACCTGAAATCGATGCAACAAGATTTATACATTTTCTTTGTTCTTGAAATTTAGGCAAAATATTAAACTTATTTATTAGATTGTTTATTTACAAGTAAACTTATTATTTACCCATTATTACTGAATGGTTGGTTGATAATATCAAACCATTGTTAAAACTCTGCAATGATTCAGGGTGCTAAATTAAAAATTTGAGAAATAAATATCGGTCTTTAGTTTTTTGTTTTATGGCGGTATTTATAAATTTAGCCAATAAAAAATGCTTGCTATGGATTTATTTATAAATTTGTAAAACTGGTAATACTGCTTGTTAATTTATGTGCTGGTTATAAGGGATTCAATTGGATTTCGAAATATTGCTTGGCAAATAAACAATCTAATAAATAAATAATGTTTAAGTTCGCATTTTGGCATGGAAATTTTTGAAAAACCCGGTCCGAATAAAGCGACCAGTCATCAGCAAATTATTTTCAGTTCGAAATTCAATGAACGGCAGGGAGTTTGGGTTGCAAAGTGTTAGTGGTCGGCAGGTCATGCACCAGGAAAAAATTCAGAATCGGATCTCTGAGTATCCAGTATCCACCGAGATGAGATTGCCAAAATACGAGCATGAATTTCAAACATGGATGGACAATGGTTGGTTATATTGATGAAGTAACAAGGAGTTTGGCCCGCCCTTATGGTTTGATACCACTGATTTTTTTTTTTTTTTTAGACCAAGCAAGCATAATTCTAAAGGCCCCTGTGATGGACTATAGGAACTAAATACCTTTTTTGAAACATTCACAGGTGCAATAGCTGTTTTGAGAAAGAAAAACTGCAAGACTAAACAGCATGGTAAAATGGCAACGTATTCATTCTGGACCTCAGGAAATTTAGCAGTATTAATCGGTCGTATCCTTGATTGAACAGAGTCAGTCAATAGATTAGCTTGGGGCGATGGCAGAAGGGAGAGCTCAGATTATCAAACTTGGAGTTCCTCTGGACATTGGACACACTTTAACGGTCGCCATTTTTTATATTTGAATGAATGTGACCACACCAGTTTTCGATCTGGCGACCACTAGTTTATTGGGACGCTGCTACGTAATCCGGCAATTGGAGTCGGTGTTTTTCAACGCATGGTGCCCCGGTAGAAATCCTGGCTGATAATGACACTGCATTCCGCAGTCAGCAATTTAAACAATTCATGGAAGAATGGGGCGTCCGATTCGACCGCTACTGCGTACAAACCATCTGGAAATGGTATTGTAGAGAGGTGTCATTGGACAATCAAACGGATTGCTGCGCGAAAGAGCTGCTCTATTATGGAGGCCGTGTATTGGTATAACGTTACACCCAGGGATGATGTCTATGCCTCTTCTGCGCCCGCCAATCTGCTTCATTCGTGAAGAATTCGAAAAAAAAATTGACATTGTGCCTTCGCCTAACCGGGCGACCGACTCGGTATAAAGAAGGAGACGAGTTTGGGTAAAAAATCCGCACGGACGCTGCACGTCAAAAGTTTTGAAAGGATGGTCACGGGAATAAACAGTCCGCAAACTGTGGTCATCGGCAGGATACCGCTTACACGTGGGAGATGTACGTCCACGGCTCACTTCATTGTTACCAACGGATGATGGCGAAAAAAGCACAACGTCAGGGGAGTAATGAATGGCAAGAACCAAGCTCCAGTGCAAGCAATTCGACACCTCATCTGAAAGCTTTGAAGTAGACTTGAACCTTAATGATCCCCCGGAATATGATTCAGACCAGGACACATCTGACGCATTCAGCCGGGGAGGAAGTCATGGTTATACCACCGATGAGCTTTAAAAGTATGAAACGACCAGCCTGTCACTGTCACTTATGTAACTCATATATCAGGGAGGTAATAGGATTGACAGTGACTTACCAGGACCAAAGCGATATCCTTAAAAACCTTTGGTCGAACCATTCTCTGAGAGTCGGTTTTTATAAGAAACCATTTTTATGCAGCAGACTTATTTGAAGATAAGAGAACCACGCTACCGATTAAAAAACCGGCGAAGTGTTATTTTCGGGAGGCCCTTAGCTTTTCTGGCTTCATTACAGACTAGACGGATTTGAGACAGAAAGCGACTTTTTGACATAATGTTTTATATATATATATATATATATATATATATATATATATATATAAATGTGTGTGTATATTTTTTTTTTTTTTAAACACATTTTTATGTTTATACATTCTTTTTATAGATACAAATATTTAAGTAAATGCTCTGTTTCTAATAAACAGTATTAAACAACATTTACCGCCCTGAGTGTCTGTTGAAACTTGGATAAGCATGGAATAATAATAATACAACACAAAATGTATGTAAACAAAATGTATTGAAACAAGGAAAAGGTACACAATATTTACAGTTAGTTTTGGTATATTCTTGGGAAGACTGTTCCTGCAGAATGGGTTGACTAAATCGCAGTTGGGCAGAGTCTCTCGATTCGATCTCTTCTTACTAACCCCCGTCTTCCGGTACCAACCCATATTTATATGGTCGGTACTCCACTTATGTAAATTAGGTGTATCGTACCACAACAATATCCGAGAAAATATATTTTCTGTGAAAATTTTCTTACTGTAGTCATTGTCTCACTTTCTCTCTTTCTCACTGTAGTCATTGTCTCACTTTCTCTCTTTCTCACTGTAGTCATTGTCTCACTTTCTCTCTTTCTCACCGTAGTCATTGTCTCACTTTTCTTCTTTCTCAATAAGTTTAATTTGTCTCAACATTTCTCTCTTTTCAATTTAGTCATTGAAAATTTTCTCGTACTCTGTAATTTAAAAAATGTTGTTTCTACTTATCAAAATTCAGCAACATCGAGGCTGCTCAGTAACTAGATAGATGACTAATTGCCAGTACCAAGTGCTGTAAGATTAGTTGTGTGAGTGATATAATGAATAACTGCTCAAGAATTGGAAAACAGCATTCCATTTTGGTTAGTTATATTCACTTGTGTGCAAATACCACTGGGAAAGGTATGAACGCACCTCTTTTCCCCCAGCTATGGATTAATTAGCATGACTTGTATCAGTAAATCCTTATCATCTCCTCAAAAATTCTTCCAACTTAAAAGTACTTTCTCACTTCAAATAATCTGAAAAACATTGATAAGCTATAAACAAAAACATAAACAAAAAAAACAAACACAATTGGTCACCAATATTGTACTAATTTTTGTCTCTTCTGTATTTAGTTTCAGGAAGAACGTAAATGTGAACTGCATTGATACCAGTGGGGGAACTCCTTTACATCTTGCTTCATTGAATGGACACAGGTAAGTCATTAACAGTTTTTTCAATTCTAGACAAAAAAATGGATATAAAAAAATTACCTCTTATGATGTCCTAATTTCACTTAATACAGTGATTTTACTGTTCAAATGTTTACTGCATCAGAGATCTATACATGAAAAACATCATCTACAAATAAAAGTTCATTCGATAATACAGTTTTGCCCTGCCATCTATAATTTTTCTTTCCTTGGTTTCACTTATAGCCACAGTCAAACCGATTTATAAAGAATTCATAAGTTTTACTTGCTTATCATCTGTAAAGAGTTTGATGTTAGCAATATGAATGGGTCAAAGACATAGTGTAAATTGCTTTCTTTAAGGGAAAAGTTCTTGAATTAATATGGAAGGTGCATAATTTTTTAAATCTTGTCCTCTCAGATTCTCTACTCATTTTCTCATCTCTCTCTCTGTTCATTCTCTTACCTTGTCTCTATCATTCTCTTTATTCATTCTCTCACCTTCTCTCTCTCTGTATTGCTTCTTGAACCTTTCCTCACTCTGTATTCATTCTCTCACCTCTTCTCTCTCTCTTTGTATTCATTGTCTCACTTTCTCTCTCTCTCTCTCTATTCATTGTCTCACTTTCCCTCTCTCTCTCAGTATTCATTGTCTCACTTTCCCTCTCTCTCTCAGTATTCATTGTCTCACTTTCTCTTTCTCTCTGTATTCATTGTCTCACTCTTTCTCTCTCTGTATTCATTGTCTCACTCTTTCTCTCTCTGTATTCATTGTCTCACTTTCTCTCTCTCTCTGTATTCATTGTCTCACTTTCTCTCTCTCTCTGTATTCATTGTCTCACTTTCTCTCTCTCTCTGTATTCATTGTCTCACTTTCTCTCTCTCTCTCTGTATTCATTGTCTCACTTTCTCTCTCTCTCTCTGTATTCATTGTCTCACTTTCTCTCTCTCTCTGTATTCATTGTCTCACTTTCTCTCTCTCTGTATTCATTGTCTCTCTTTTCTATCTCTATTTCATTCTCTCACTTTCTCTCTCTCTCTCTGTATTCATTGTCTCTCTATTTTCTCTCTCTGTATTCATTGTCTCACTTTCTCTCTCTCTGTATTCATTGTCACACTTTCTCTCTCGTTGTATTCATACTTTCACACTTTCTCTCTCTGTATTCTTTATTTCACTCTTTCTCATTCGTTTTCTCTATTTCTTTCATTGGATGGAAATTTCTCTCATCCCTTTCTCTCTCTAGGTGCTCATCCCTTTTCTCTCTCTCATCCCCTTTCTCTCTCCCTCATCCCCTTTCTCTCTCCCTCATCCCCTTTCTCTCTCTCTCCTCTTCTTTATCACTTCTCTCTCTCTCTCTCTTCAGACTCTCTCTCTCTCTGAATCTCTCTCTCTCTTTAAAATTTCTCTCTTCTTTATATATATCTCTCTATATATCTATATATATCTCTCTCTCAATGGATTTTCTCTCTCTCAAATGGATTTCTTTCTTTCTCTCTCTCTCTGTCTCAATAAAAATTTCTCTCTCTCTTTCAGAAACAGCCTTTAAATTAAGAAAAAGTCTAGATTTCTCTTTCTCTCTCTCTCTCTTGATTTTCTCTCTCTCTCTTTTTTCTCTCAAAAATCTCTCAAAAGATTTTCTCTCTTTCTCTTTCTCTCAAATTTATTTTCTCTCTCTTTCTGTTTCATTTCTTTTCTTTCTCTCTCTCTTTCTGGGTTCTTTTGTCTCTCTATCTAAAGCTTGAATTATTCTTTCAAAAAAAAAAAAATAGTCAGCTGGATGATAAATGTTCATTTGGACCTCTTTTAAAAAAATATTCATTTTTCTCTTTCAGGTCACAGGCCTCAGCTTGGAATGAAGAAATCTAAAGTAGATTATAAAAAATCATTGTAGATGAAAAAGAAAGAAGTTTTTTCTTATTTCTGATCTGTTTCAAGGTTCTCTGACCTGGCCTGCTAATGATTTCGACCACCAACCTGCAGTCTGTCCTCAATTTGCTATTAAGTGGCTGTTTACTATTTGTTTATTAAGTAAATATTTAGTAGACATCCGATAAAACCATGTAAAAAAAAAAAAAAAAAAAGATGCAAATTAAGTAATGTTTTCTTTTATTTCTTTACAATTTTTTTTTCATTTCCAAGCCTATAGCAAATTTTTCCTGCAAAAACCTGTTTGGAAAAGATTTAAATAATTGGTGTGCTTATTCAGATCACAGAATACAAGATACTTTTTTTTTCTTGAACTTTTCTACCATTCTTTAAGAGTGTCGTATAGCCATTTCCCAGGCATCAATTTTCCACTTCATCAATTGTTTCTTGTGTGAATCTAAAGTTTTGTGTATTTGGTAGAGTTAATATTCCTTGTTCATTTACAAATTCTTTGGCCATGTATGTTGTACTGCCAAATTGTATTTGAATTATTGGGTATTCCAGCTTTTTGAAAGTATTGTCCAAATTTGTACTTTTTGGGACCTCTTTCCACAAGCTGCAAACTTTTCTTTTAATTGTGTAATAATTTCACTTTCCTCAGATCTTTTGTGCTCTTCTACACTGGTTGATTCTTGATGTGAAATTTTAGTTAAAATCAGTTTAATTTTCTTTGATACTATATTAAAGTACCAAAAGTTTACATGATTATCTATATTAGTAGTTTGAATTAAGACCAAAATTATAAAATGTCTCAAAAGCTAGCTTATTGTTTTGCAGTAAATAATTTTCACCCACTGAGGATTTATCAGTAATAATTATGTTGTATCATTACACCACCATAATTTAAAAAAAAATGGATATGAAATTAAAAATTAATTACCACAATTGTTTTGGTGTTCCTGTATTGATAAATCCCAGCTACTATGAAAAGCCACCAATATTTTTACAGTCTAGAGAGTAAGTGACTTGTTCCATAGGGTCAAAAAATAGGTTCTCTTTAAAATCAATATTGAGGTAATTTTTTTTCACACTGACTCAATAAAAATTGTTATTATTTTTATGACCAGCATATATTCTGACTTACCAAAAAGCTAAAATGAAATAAAGTAATCATGGTTTGTGCAGTTGTAGGAACCATGAGTTTGTTTGTAACTGTTACTCTTAATCATATATATAAAAGAAAAACTAAAACATTGATTATTTTGTACATATATTTAGTGTACCATATCAAATGTCAACAAAAATTTAATAATTATCATCATTTGTTGCTTATTTTCATGTTATTTTATGTTAACATTAATTCATGACACTTTTTTTAAATAATTATTTTCATTATGTCACTTTTTCATATAAAACTTTATTTGTTGCATCATGAAAATGTAAAGAAAACCAAAATAAAGTTACTTATATCCACTGAATTGGTCAACATTAAACAAATAATCTAGATTCTACTTAGAATTATGACCTATCGTGCTTAGGTGTATGTTGAAACATTCCAACGAAATTGATCGCTTTGTCAGTGATGTTATTTCTTGAAATAAATAACTAAGTTTCAGTTCTTGCAACATCATTTTTCCAGTTGCCAGGAAGAGACCCTACCGAAAACAGTAATATTCCTGGCAGGCGATCCTTTCTTTTAAAAATAGATGCACACAAAAGGTTGGATACATTAAATAACTGCCACTGCTGATCTTGAAATTAAAGGACCAATTTCTAACGACTTACGTCCCTTCCTCCTCAGCCAAGACGAATAAAAAAAGAATAGACAGCATGCTCGTTCCTTTTATGTTAATATTAATCAGCATTCAAAGAGCATTCTCAAGATATTTTGAACTTGACCATTTTGAAGATCTGAAAAATAATATATGGGGGCAAATACAAAAATCTGCATTTTTTGAATTTCCTCCCAACTTGTAAAATACTTTGGTAACTCAGGCCATGGTTCAAAAGTTCATAAAAAATTTTTTTTTTACATAATATGCCATAATAGGAAAGAAAACAATTTGTCAAATTAAATCTCAAAATTAAAGATAATTCAATTTTGAGAAATTAAATTTCATGTTGCAGGTAATTATCTTATTTGACAGGTTGGTGAATAAATAGATCACCTTTTAGATCATTTCCAAGTACTTCAAATGGTATATTTCATTTAGATTTGTAGGTGAAAAACAGCTGAGATATTTATATTTAAACTTTGTGACTATTTTTTCCAAGATTCAGACATTAAATTTTCCAAAGGTCAAAGTTGTAATATTTTGGGAACATTTCACCTGAGATTTGTAATAGTGTTAATTCAATTCATATCAAACTTGAAAAGTGTACCAAACTTGAAACTGTCAGTGATGGTCAGTCAAATCTCAATTTGAATTTGGAAAGATCAGTCCAGGAGGCATCTCAAAGAAAATGACAGTTCCAATCATCATGCTGGTAATGGAATGAGGTCTCATGAATAAGTTTCCTGATTAACAGATAATTGGAATGAAATATCAATAGATACAAAGTTTATATTAGTCAGGCACAAAGGTAAAAAGCAAGAAAATCGTTTCATCTTTTGATATCTCAAGATCAAAACCCTCATCATTGTAATTACCAAGGTGTTTTATCTTTTGATATAATGGTTTTATTCTAATTTTTTAGAAGGGAATTATTAAAAACATGGTAGATTCATGATATATACTCTATATATTTAAAGGAAAGTATTAGTATTTTTTGATTTAATGGAAAGAAAAAAAAATGGAGAATACATAAGGTATTTTTTATCAAATTTTTTTCAAATATATTATATATATATATATATATATATATATATATATATATATATATATATATATATATATATATATATATATATATATATTCATATATATATATATATATATATATATAATGTATATATATTCATAAGATCATTGAGTTTTATTTAATCTCAAATCAAATGTCCAAATGTCTTTGGATGGCATTTCATGGGGATTTTTAATTCATCTATTTTGTCCATATTTAGGACTTGATGAGTTATATGATCTTTTTAAAAGAGCTTTTATAAATCGAATCTCATGTTAATCTTTGTTTAAATTAATTGTTGGTGTTCCATAAAACCCTGAATATTGTGGTAAAACAATTAGGTCCCATCTATGGGTTTTTATTTAACCCCCAAATTGGGGTCAAAAAATCTACGAAAATCCATTGAAATAAATTTAGTACCAGCAATACCCCCATTTTTTTAAAATTATTACCAGAAATAAATTATTTATAAAACAAAATATTACCAATAATACATTTTATGAAAAAAAAATACTTATTTTAATAAAATCTTGTTGTTATTAAATAACCCATTGAGGGTGATATTAGTTTAAACCAAACCAAACTATGTATTTTTATATGTGTAAAGAAATGTGGAATAATGAAAATATTTAATTCTTAAAAAATATAGAAACTAATTTAGATTTTTACCTGTAGAGAAACCTGTATTCAGAAAAGTATTAATTCCAAAAAAAATTATTCTTATTATTTCCATAATAGATTTTAATCGATATTTGGCGATTTAGAAACTTTTAGATTTAAATTGTTTAAACCCCAATCTAAAAAAAATTTTTTTAACTAAAATGTTGACCTTCACAGAAAAACAAACCAATCAATAAAACAAAAAAATTGCTGCCCCTAATGAAGTTTTTAAAATTAATTCTCCATCCGTTTTCAACTTGGGGCTAAATAACCTCACTGATGTCCGATTTCAACTTTCGGTGGTCCTATGGCAACTGACAGTTTACTGATAATATTAAAATAAATTTTTATGGGCTATATAAATTTTCAGTATTAAAAAGGTATTTCAACATAAGCTATTCAAAAAAATATTTCAAAGAGATAAATTCAAAGAACTTTTGTGTGTGTATATATATATATATATATATATATATAATATATATATATATAAAAATTGCAAAAAAAAACAATAAAGGGATAGTAACTAACATTCCTTGATCTCTTTTCCTGACTAATTTTTCAAATTTTAATATTTAATATTTTGGTATTTTCTATAGTTTTCTGAATTATCATTAACATTCAAATATTACTTCAGACATATAACATTTTTTCCGGATATAGAAAAGATTAGGGAAGATCAAGAACAAAAAAAATATTTGATAAATTTTATTTATTAAAAACTATTGTATATTTTTTTATTTTATTTTTATGAACAAAATTATTTAATTTTTTTTGTCAATATAATTAATGTGATAACCCTAACCATAAAACTAAATTTATATATATATATATATATATATATATATATATATATATATTCATTCGCATGTTTCATTAAATAATATAGACAAGTGTTGTCTATTTATTTTATGTAAATTCTTTTTCATAACGTCTGATAAGCTTAATAACATTATCATTAAATGAGCAAAGAAAATCACAATATTGATCCATATTTTTAATCCAATCTAAGTTTTTTTGGGGGTAAGCCATTATGAAGATGTCAATTATCGTTCAACATATTAAGCAATATACGAACAAGACAATGATGATAGTCTGTTTCTGGTTACATGTTGATTTCTCAAGACAATGATAAACACGTATCGCTCATATAAGACCCTGGGAAATTTAAAATGTCCTCCACAGCTCATGACATCACACATGACCACATGAGAGTGAATTGAAGATATGAAGATGGGAAGCCGTTGGTATAAACCAATGGCTTCTGTTACCAATTATAGACATTTGTAGAGATTCCATAGTTGATTTTTGTTTAGGTTGGGTTTCAACCGTTTAATGCATAATGCTTCAAGGATTTTAGTTTTTGTCGATTGTTTTCATGTTGAAGTATAATTGTGTTTTTGACAAGTATTTTATTTGAATTGTCATTAAGGCATGTTGTTTTAAATGCCAACTAGTTGTGTCATACTCTTCTGTTGTAATTTACACTTAATATTTGTAATATATGGATATTTTTTTTTCTTCTGACTGTTTAATATATGATATATCTGTAACACATGTTTTGTTATTTCTTTAACCATTTACTTGGTCACAACAATTTAGTTGATTGATGAAGTAGCTACAATTTCCAAAAAGTATTCAAGCCAAGATAAAAGCTGAATATTAATTTTCTCGGTACACAATGGCTCACGGCCATATCATATCGAAACACCGGTTCATGTACGATCACCAAAGTTTAGCAAAGTTGAGCCTGGTCATTACCTAGATGGGTAACCACTTGGGAATACTAGGTATAGCTCGCTTGGCTGTTCAGTTGGTATAATAGATAATGGCTTGGAATTGTTACTTAGAGAGTTCCAATTTGGGTTTGTTATATTATATAAAAATGCTCTTAAAAAAAAGTATTAACCCACCTCATTTTTCCCCAGCAATAGGTTAATA